ATCTACTCACAGTCTCTGCCATTTGCTTTCCATTCACTGAACTCCGTCCTCCCGCTTCACCACCAACCACAGCTTCACCTCCATGAGCAGGCCGAGAAGCCTGGGACTCTCCTGGGAGGCGTCCCAGCCCAGGGCAGCCCAACCCTGGTCTTGTATCAGACATCAGAGGAGGTCAGCACCACACAGCCTGCAGCTGCTCCACAGGAAACCACACCCTCTGCACAGTCCCACTTCTCCTGTCCCGGATGCCGGGTGTCATTCTCGGTATCTGTCCCCGTTCTGTATGTATGGACTCTGCACAGTCCCACTTCCCCTGTCCCGGATGCCGGGTGTCATTCTGTATGTATGGACTCTGCACAGTCCCACTTCCCCTGTCCTGGATGCCGGGTGTCATTCTCGGTATCTGTCCCCATTCTGTATGTATGGACTCTGCACACTCCCACTTCTCCTGTCCCGGATGCCGGGTGTCATTCTCGGTATCTGTATGTATGGACTCTGCACAGTCCCACTTCCCCTGTCCCGGATGCCGGGTGTCATTCTGTATGTATGGACTCTGCACAGTCCCACTTCTCCTGTCCTGTATCTGGTTCAGTATCATTTTTGATGATGATCTGCAGTTGATGGGAAGATATAAATCTGTTTTCCGCGTTGGAAGATTTCGGGGAGTTTTTTGGTCGGGAGAACTTTCTTGTTGTCAATCATTTTGGATTTTCTTTTATTGCTGAAAACAAAGCAGAAAGTCGATGAAGGAGAGAGCGGTGAGAACAATGTATCGCTGCGCGGATCGCGGTGTTCTCTGCGTGACGGGAGGACTTGTGTGTTTTTTGTCTTTTAATTAGCGCGTCCCCCCCCCCCCCCCCCCCCCCCCCCCCCCCCCCACCCCCGCCTCTGACTGGGTGTTCCACTTTCAGCACAAAATAAGAACTAAAATTAGCGCCGGCCTATTGACGACAGAACACTTCTGCAGTGAAACGCGTCGGTGCGTAGGAGAGATTGTGCTTCCGTGAGGATGACCGGCGAGGGGATTGTCACGCTGCTGTTCTCGCTTTTCTTCACCGAATACCTCGTAACTCGTACAGGTGGAGCATGTGGGTGGAGGAAGGGGGAGCTATCAACAAAGGACAGGCAAGAATAGCCAGACAGGGATCACTGTGATGTCATTGACCAGACAGGGATCACTGTGATGTCGTTGACCAGACAGGGATCACTGTGATGTCACTGACCAGACAGGGATCACTGTGATGTCATTGACCAGACAGGGATCTCTGTGATGTCACTGACCAGACAGGGATCACTGTGATGTCATTGACCAGACAGGGATCACTTTGATGTCATTGACCAGACAGGGATCACTGTGATGTCGTTGACCAGACAGGGATCACTGTGATGTCGTTGACCAGACAGGGATCACTGTGATGTCATTGACCAGACAGGGATCACTTTGATGTCATTGACCAGACAGGGATCACTGTGATGTCATTGACCAGACAGGGATCACTTTGATGTCATTGACCAGACAGGGATCAATGTGATGTCGTTGACCAGACAGGGATCAATGTGATGTCGTTGACCAGACAGGGATCACTGTGATGTCATTGACCAGAGAGGGATCACTTTGATGCTGTTGACCAGACAGAGATCACTTTGATGTCATTGACCAGAGAGGGATCACTGTGATGTCATTGACCAGAGAGGGATCACTGTGATGAAGTTGACCAGAGAGGGATCACTGTGATGAAGTTGACCAGAGAGGGATCACTGTGATGAAGTTGACCAGAGAGGATCACTGTGATGTCATTGACCAGAGAGGAATCACTGTGATGAAGTTGACCAGAGAGGGATCACTGTGATGAAGTTGACCAGAGAGGGATCACTGTGATGAAGTTGACCAGAGAGGGATCACTGTGATGTCATTGACCAGAGAGGAATCACTGTGATGAAGTTGACCAGAGAGGGATCACTGTGATGCCGTTGACCAGAGAGGAATCACTGTGATGAAGTTGACCAGAGAGGGATCACTGTGATGTCATTGACCAGAGAGGGATCACTGTGATGTCATTGACCAGAGAGGGATCACTGTGATGTCATTGACCAGAGAGGGATCATTGTGATGTCATTGACCAGAGAGGGATCATTGTGATGTCATTGACCAGAGAGGGATCATTGTGATGTCATTGACCAGAGAGGGATCACTTTGATGCCACTGACTAGAGAGGGATCACTTTCATATCACTGACTAGACAGGGATCACTTTGATGCATTTGGCCAGAGAGGAATCACCATGATGAAGTTTCCCAAAGACAGATGATTTGATGCAGTTGGCCTGACAGGGATCTTTTTAATACCGTTGACCAGAGAGGGATCACTGTGATGAAGTTGACCAGAGAGGGATCACTATGATGTTGACCAAAGAGGGATCACTTTGATGACGTTGACCAGAGAGGGATCACTATGATGACGTTGACCAGAGAGGGATCACTTTCGTGCTGTTGACCAGAGAGAATTCAATGTGATGAAGTTGACTAGAGAGGGATCACTTTCATATCACTGACTAGAGAGGGATCACTTTCATATCACTGACTAGAGAGGGATCACTTTCATATCACTGACTAGAGAGGGATCACTTTGCCGGCGTCTGGCATTGAAGCACTTCATGGTGGGATGGGGTGGAGGTGAGGCAAAAGGAAAAGCGACTTATTTTCTGGGAGAGAACGGACAATTCTAATGAAGTAAAACCATTTATTTTAGAACTAAAATGATTCTGTGTTTTTACTAGACTAACGGGCGGCAATGCTGCGTCTGTTGGCCATATTTGCCCCCCCCCCCCCCCTACAGTAGTTGGGAGGAATTATGACATTCAATAAGTGACGGGAATCACCTGTCAGCAGGAATTACATCCCTGGAAATACACATTTCGAGAATAGAAAACCAAGCCGTCACCTTCGCCTGATGATAGAACGCCACCATTTATGAGCGTCACGGCTGCACTTTTGAAATGTTCCAAAAATTTTAGGAGACAACAAAATGACTTTATAAAGAATTCTCCATGAAGGAATCCCTGACATTCTGCAGAGAAGCTCCACCTTTTATCAGTAGCCTCCCTAGCGGTCTGATGATGTCAGTATTTCTGTGCTCAAAGCGGTACATTTTTTTGCATGGAAATATGTCGTTTTTTTATTGTCGGCTGTAATTTTTAGGAAATAACTCCCTGAAATCTGTCTGAACAAGAGTCTAGTAAACATCCCGGGGGAGATAAAACTTGAAACACGAAATCATGAATTATAATTTAATAAATAATCAGAAAATAATAATATAATAATAATAAATGTAATTCAATAATATAATCAAACCGAAAACACTGAAATGTGAAATAGAGCGCCAAGTTGGCACATCGCTGAGCTCTGAATCGTTTTCAGTGTCTGATGAGGAATTTCCCCCACCAATCATTATCACTCAATTCTGCAAGTGGTTCTGATTTACTATCGCTGTTCTCTAGCCGGTCTAAAACCGCGTCTGACCTAAAGGGACGCTTTTTGGACGCCATGGACGTTTCTCAGTTCCCAGCAGAAAGGGCGGTAAAAATGCAAGCAGGGCGCCGGACAAAGCACTCGGGACAAAATGTATGTGAAATGGTTTGATACAGGAATGTTATACGATGTGATTTTAGTGTATTTAGTGAATGTCACTTTTTGACATTTTCAAATTTCCCGCCATTCCGTCCCCCGTACGTCCCGACGTCGCAGGGAACGGAACCCGGAAGACAGATGGCGGCATCGGCCGGAGGACATTGCTGGGGACACTGCAGGAGGGACATCGCGGGAGCGAAGGGCAAGGTAAGTGCTGCAGGGATCCCGGAGCAACGCTGCAGGGTATTCCCGAGTGTAGCTTGGGGGGGGGGGGGGGGTCCGCTTGTGCTGCTGAAACTTTACCCCGAGCTACACTCGGGGTTAAATAGCCGCCCTTGAGCCCCAGTCAGTGACTTTGCCTAGGCTGAGATGATGTCATCAGGCTGAGGCTGTAATCCCAGGACATGGCCCTGCACACAGTCTCAGTGGGCAAAGATACGGGACTGTCCCAGCAAATTCGGGACTGTCCCAGCAAATTCGGGACTGTCCCAGCAAATTCGGGACTGTCCCAGCAAATTCGGGACAGTTGTCATTTGTGCAGCGATACTAAGGCTAGCCATAAACTTGTGTATTTTTCTCAGACGAAATGAAACAATTCTATCAGACTGGAGGAAGAGGCAACAAGGTGAATGGAGAGGCACACACATGTCCTTCTCATGTCTGACTTTGGGCCCATCTCGTGGTGCAGCACCCTTCACTCTCCCTTTTAATAATATTTGATCCTCATCTCCTTCCCTAGGCATTGATAGGAGCACATGACCCCAGCAGAGATGGGCGACGATAGAGCGGCCTGCAGGAAATTAATCCAGACTCTCGGCAGGGCCCTGTATTACGAGATGACGTAGAACCTCGTCTATGGCTGCTGACGGCTGAGAGGTATTAATAAAGGGGGCTTTGTCGGCAGCCACGGCTGTGGCGCCGTCCATCTTCTAGAAGTATTGTTTCATTTGGTTGCTATGCTCATCCGGTGGCTTCGGTACCTTTAGGCCCCCTTTAGGCCCATTCTCATCTGCGGGTTTTCACATGCAACACGTGAAAAATGCCCATTGTGCTCTCGGTGCCAGTTATTGTTAATGGCACTCGCCCCAAATGCAGCTAGCAAAGGTAAAAAAAAGTGCAAAGCTCAATGACTAAAAAGGCGCACATTTTGTCGCATGTAGGTGGTCAAGTGACTGGCTGCCCTATGCTAGTTGTGTGTGAAAATTCTAATACAAAGGACATTTTCGCATGCGCAGATATGAATGGAACCTTAGAGTCGTTACATAAGCTATATTGCCAAAAGTATTGTCCCCGCCCCCCAAATCATGTGATTCAGGTGTTCCAATCCCCTCCATATCATGTGATCCAATCCCCTTCAGGTGTTTCCAATCCCCCCCCAATCATGTGATTCAGGTGTTCCAATCCCCTCCATATCATGTGATTCAGGTGTGTTCCAATCCCCTTCCCAATCATGTGATTCAGGTGTTCCAATCCCCTCCATATCATGTGATTCAGGTGTTCCAATCCCCTCCCCAATCATGTGATTCAGGTGTTTCACAATCCCCTCCCATATCATGTGATTCAGGTGTTCCAATCCCCTCCATATCATGTGATTCAGGTGTTCCAATCCCCTCCAATCATGTGATTCAGGTTGTTCCCCTATTTCCCCTCCATATCATGTGATTCAGGTGTTCCAATTCCCCCTCCATATCATGTTGATTGATTCAGGTGTTCCAATCCCCTCCAAATCATGTGATTCAGGTGTTCCAATCCCCTCCATACATGTGAATTCAGGTGTTCCAATCCCCTCCATACCATGTGATTCAGGTGTTCCAATCCCTTCCCAATCATGTGATTTCAGGTGTTCCAATCCCCTCCCATATCATGTATTCAGGTGTTCCAATCCCTCCATAATCATGTGATTCAGGTGTTTCCAATTCTCCTCCATATCATGTGATTCAGGTGTTCCAATAACCTCCATATCAATGTGATTCAGGTTCAGGTTCCAATAACCTCCATATCATTTGATTCAGGTGTTCCAATCCCCTCCATATCATGGTGATATTCAGTGTTCCAATCCCCTCCATATCATGTGATTCATGTGTTCCAATCCCCTCCATGGACACAGGTGTATACAATCCAAGCCCCTAGGCATGCAGACTGCTTCTACAAACATTGGTGAAAACAATGGGTCGCTCTCAGGAGCTCAGTGACTCCAAGCGTGGTCCCGTGATAGGTGGCCACCTGGGCAATAAGTCCATCCGTGACATTTCCTGGCTACTAAATATTCCACGCTCAACTGTTATGTGGGATTATAACAAAGTGGAAGCAACTGGGAACAACAGCCACTCAGCCACCAAGTGGTTTAGGCACGTCACATGACAGGGCGGGGTCAGCGCATGCTGAAGCGCACAGTGCGCAGAAGTCACCCAACTGTCTGCAGAGTCAATAGCTAAAGACCTCCAAACTTGGTGTGGCCTTACAGATGAGCCCAACAACAGTGTGTAGAGAGCTTCATGGAATGGGTTTCCATGGCCGAGCAGCTGCATCCAAGTGCAATGCAAAGCGTCGGATGCCTTGTCACATGGTACAAGGCTGGTTGTGAATGGCCCTTTGTACCATGTGATCTCTGTGATCATTCACAGATTTCACAAGTATTTAAGCAATGATGTCAGTAGTGACATTTTCCTACTACTCTTCATGTGATCACTGATTGGCCAATCATTGATCACATGATCGGGAACCTCACACATAGGTCCCGTACAGCACCGGATCGCGGTGCTGCACCGTCTCCTAGGGAGCATGCACAAGCAGGGAAGCGGGAGGACGTTTATAAACGGCCACCCTTTCCTGCACTGCTCCCTTCTGGGCTGTTTATATACATGGACTAGATGGGAAGGGGTTAAAAAAAAATAAAAAATCGATCCTGAAAAAGGAAGTGAACATTTAGGCGACTTGGTGACAGGTCCCTTTAACTGCAAAGAATGAGCTGCAAAATCTCCCCGTGTGATAAACGAGCTCCTCCAACCGCCCGCATGGCGTTTATTATCCCACCCGGGAGAGGAGAATTGCTGCAATTATCGGCGGTGACACTGGAAATGAGGGGAATGGCGGTAATTACAGAGCCAGCCGGGCACAATAGAGAGAACGCCGCGCCGAAATCGGAGGAAATAAACAGGAAACGCGGCGCACTACACGGAGCATTCCGACATACTGTACACACAAAAGATGGAAGACTCGGGTGAGTGACGGGTGGGAGGGCCAAGCCAGGGCGGCGATGGCGCATTGTGTGTATGGTCAGCGCTGAGGATGTAACATGTGTAGTGCACCCGCCCCCAAGGCTAGGTTCACGTCTATGCGCGTTGATGCGTTTTGTGTTTTTGAACACGTTTTGTGTTCTTTTTGCTAATAGAAAATTATGGCAGTTCTGTTCATGAAGTGTGAGGTCGATGCAAATTTGATGCAACTTTGATGCGACTTTGATGCGACTTTTACACTCTCTGGCACACAAGTAGCATCAAAGCAGTGCAGGAACCTTTACGTGACCAAGTCGCATGTTGGGGTTAGGGGCAGGAATGTATTTGCTGCGAGGCAACCAAGAGCTTCCATGGTGTAGCAAGTAAGGATTTATTATTGTGTCTATAGGGGCACGGGTGTCAAACTGGCGGCCCTCCAGCTGTTGCCAAACTACAAGTCCCATGAGGCATTGCAAGACTGACGGTTACAAACATGACTCCCAAAGGCAGAGGCATGATGGGACTTGTAGTTTGGCAACAGCTGGAGGGCCGCCAGTTTGACACCCCTGGTATATCGGGTGTATGAGGTTGGGAGTACCAAGATGGCAGCTGCTGTCCTACACGTTACATCACGAGTCCCGTGACTTCATCAGAGATCCATCTGGCGGAGGATCATCCACCTGCAGTTATGCTTTGTGACCCCTTGAGGTCGCAGTTTGAAGGTGAGCGCGCATGCTAGGCGGCGAAGGATTGCCCGTTTATTCGGCCAGAGAGAAGGAGAAAATTATTGCTTTTACAGCCTTTATGGGTGTAAAAGCAATCAGTGTAAAAACAAATCTTCATCACCCCCCACAAGTAGTACACTGTCACCATGGTGACCCTATACTGCTACCGTGACAGTATGTAAAAAAAACCCCAAAAAAACATAAATAAAATAAAAAAAAATAAAAATGTAAAAAGAAATTTTAAAAAAATTATAATTTTTGGGTTATAACCTAATTTGGGTTATTTATTTTTTTACTAAAAAGATAACTGAATAAATTTTGGCCGAGATTTATGAAGAAAGATTATTTATTTGAAAAAAACGTTTTACAAATTTTTGGACTTTTCCGTTTATATAGCAAAAAAAATTTAAAAATCCCAGCGGTGAATAAATACCACCAAAATAAAGTTTTATCTGTCTCCTCAAAAAAATGCTAAAAAAAATCAATTGATGGGTAACAGTGTATGCATGACCGCGCAATTGTCATTCAACGTGTGATAGCGCTGAAAGCTGAAAATTAAACCTGGACTTGAAGGGGAGGAAAGTGTCCAAACTGAAGGGGGGGAAAGTGTCCGGACTGGAAGGGGGGAAAGTGTCCGAACTGGAAGGGGGGGGGAAGTGTCCGGACAGGAAGGGGGTGAAAGTGTCCGGACTGGAAGGGGGTGAAAGTGTCCGGACAGGAAGGGGGTGAAAGTGTCCGAACTGGAAGGGGGGAAAGTGTCCGGACCGGAAGGAGGGGAAAGTGTCCGAACAGGAAGGGGGGGTGAAAGTGTCCGGACCGGGCTAAGGGGGTGAAAGTGTCCGGACCGGAAGGGGGTGAAAGTGTCCGGACTGGAAGGGGGGAAAGCGTCCGGACCGGAAGGGGGGGAAGCATCCGGACCGGAAGGGGGGAAAGTTTCCGGACCGGAAGGGGGGGAAAGTGTCCGGACTGGAAGGGGGGGGAAAGTGTCCGGACTGGAAGGGGGGGGGAAGTGTCCGGACTGGAAGGGGGGGGGGAAGTGTCCGGACTGGAAGGGTGGGGGAAGCGTCCGGGACTGGAAGGGGGGGAAAGCGGTCCGGACTGGAAGGGGGGGAAAGCGTCCGGACTGGAAGGGGGGGAAAGCGTCCGGACTGGAAGGGGGGGAAAGCTTCCGGACTGGAAGGGGGGGAAAGCGTCCGGACTGGAAGGGGGAAAGCGTCCGGACTGGAAGGGGGGGAAAGCGTCCGGACTGGAAGGAGGTGAAAGTGTCCGGACTGGAAGGGGGGGGGGAAAGTGTCCGGACTGGAAGGGGGGAGGAAAGTGGTCCGGACTGGAAGGGGGGGGGAAAAAGAGTCCCCTGTCCCGGTACTGGAAGGGGGGGAAAGTGTCCGGGACTGGAAGGGGGTCAAAGTGTCCGGACTGGAAGGGGGGAAAGCGTCCGGACTGGAAGGGGGGGAAAGTGTCCGGACTGTCCGAAGGGGGGGGGAAGCGTCCGGACTGGAAGGGGGGGGGGAAGCGTCCGGACTGGAAGGGGGGGATTGTCTGGACTGGAAGGCGGTGAAAGCGTCCGGACTGGAAGGGGGGGAAAGTGTCCGGACTGGAAGGGGGGAAAGCGTCCGGACTGGAAGGGGGGAAGTGTCTGGACTGGAAGGCGGTGAAAGCGTCCGGACTGGAAGGGGGGGGAAAGCATCCGGACTGGAAGGGGGGGGGAAGGCGTCCGGACTGGAAGGGGGGGGAAAGCATCCGGACTGGAAGGGGGGGAAAGTGTTCGGACTGGAAGGGGGGGGGAAAGCATCCGGACTGGAAGGGGGGGGGGAAGCGTCCGGACTGGAAGGGGGGGAAGTGTCCGGACTGGAAGGGGGGGGAAAGCATCCGGACTGGAAAGGGGGGGGGAAGCGTCCGGACTGGAAGGGGGGGAAAGTGTCCGGACTGGAAGGGGGGGGAAAGCATCCGGACTGGAAGGGGGGGGAAGGGTCCGGACTGGAAGGGGAGGAAAGCATCCGGACTGGAAGGGGGGGAAGTGTCCGGACTGGAAGGGGGGGGGAAAGCATCCGGACTGGAAGGGGGGGGAAGCGTCCGGACTGGAAGGGGGGGAAAGTGTCCGGACTGGAAGGGGGGAGAAAGCATCCGGACTGGAAGGGGGGGGAAGGGTCCGGACTGGAAGGGGAGGAAAGCATCCAGACTGGAAGGGGGGAAGTGTCCGGACTGGAAGGGGAGGAAAGCATCCGGACTGGAAGGGGGGGGGAACGTGTCCGGACTGGAAGGGGGGGAAGTGTCCGGACATGAATTGATGCATTTTTTTTAGATGTTCAAAAATATCTGGAAAATATATTTAATTTACATGTTGGAATACTTTCTCGTAGGCCGATACATTGTAAATACTGAAGATATATCCTCCTCCATGTGGGAAGTTCCGTGGTCTGTGTGGATTGTTCCGTCATTTATCAGTAGTTTTAGGTGCCGTATTTTGGGGCCTCTCATTCTCGGGGCAGCACCTTTATCCTCCCTTATTGCACATATGGAAGAAAAATAAATTTTCAATATATTTAGAAAAAAATGGGCCGGATCGGATGCCGGCGGACGTCAGCGGTCACCCGCCGCTCCGTAGAAAGCTATGGATGGTCCGATCGGGTCCGCATGAGAAACTGATAGGTGGAGCCGTCAGGGTGAAGGGGGCCTTAGGGGACACTTCTCGTATCTTCGCTGCGTCACGAAGGCGGTGGACAGACAAGATGGCGTTCCCAGAAGAATCGCCGCTGGCTGAGAAATGACCGGAGCCTTCGCGGAGGACAGAGATCGCTGGAGGTCTGAATTCAGCTCACTACTCACAATGAGGATCACCGGCTGCTTCCTGCTGAGGTCCAACCGGCACTCTTCAGTCAGGGAGGAACAAAAGTCACACACCACAGGACAGGGACACTCTCCTCCAACCCCCACCCAGCATTCATCAGTGAGCTCACCTCAGATCAGGTTTGAAATAGCCCCCCCCCCCAGCTATGCTACAAGAGCTTGGACCTGGATGACCTTCCAACA